TCAATTCCATAGGTTAGACTTTCATGTTTTGCAATTGAAATTGGCTGGTAAGTGACTATATGTTTTGAGGTACCCGCATAATCATAGTCTGACAAAACAACGTCTCGTTGATACTGCTCACTGTGCTCTTTACCAGATACTTTCTTTCGCGATAATGTCTGAATTGAAGAACCCAGCTTCGCTTTACCTTTTTCTGTTTTAGTGAATGCCTGCGGGTTTTTTGGTTTGCTTAACATTGCATTGTTAAACACAAACTTTCTTAACTCACTCATTTCTTCTTTCATTTCTTTGAACTCTTTGAGAAGCTCCTTCATGATTTGTGGTGGGGACTCGGGATGATAGTTCTCTTCAACGTAGTATTTTGGAGGAGAAACATGCTCCTCTTCCTCTTGAATTGCATCAGCAGCATTGGTATTACTTTCTTTTGAACTGGCATTTATGTTAATAATAATGTCAATCATCCATAGTATTAATATCAATAGTCAAGTGAAAAGCAAGCATAAACATTCTTATTTTGATGGGTTATAAGGTTACTATTGGGGCTTCTTTCAACAAAAGTTTTCTTTAAGATAGTTATGAACTGACTAAATGACTCTATTCTCCCGTAACACTAGCTAAGCTACAGGTTCAAACTTGTTAGTACAGTCTTTTATTCAGAGACACAAGGCCCCTGAGGTACTTATGTTTAGGGTTTTCTAACTTTTAAGCCTCCCTATGTTCCACCAATTCATAACTGAGCAGGTGAGCTATGTCATCATTACATTATTGTAGTGGTTGATTTGATTTCATATCTAATACATAGATTTGAATATACATGCTAGTTATCAATGATTTCTTCAGTACAAACGAAGAAATTTCTAACGAAGTGGTCGGAACTCGCTGATAGGAAAGAAGAGAAAAACAAAGCAATGCCAAGACCTCCAGATCGCAATCGAAAACTGAGTTTTTCAAAGAATGATGAGTCCAGCACATTATCACATCAATTCAATATATACACTTCATTTATATGATGATAAGAATTCATATTATTTAATGATTTACTATTCTGCTTATTTGGTTCAAAATTCAATAGTACGGTTCTATGTTTTAATTATGGTGCTTAAGGTCATAATTACGTATGGGTGTGACCGTGTGAGTATGTATATGCATAATAAAGTAACCGATTACAATATATACCTTGATAGAACAATAATTTCTTGCAATACTTTTGTCTTCTTGCAAGCTTTTGTGCTCTCATCTGATTCAAGAGGCTCCCTTTTGGGTATTTTGAGTTCCCACTTTCCTTGTGTTTCTTCCTTGCTAGTCATCTTTTAGGTAGAAGAATGTACCGGTGGTGGTGTGTTGTGTTACGTTGATACGGGCTATCATAAGGTTGCTTATATAGCAACCTATATCCTGCCACAAGTAGACATCTAGGCTCTAGCAACGTAATTGAAGTAGTGTGCTAGTAGAACTCTATTAGTATACTGGCTAACTAGCCTAACAATGGATGTGTACGAGAATACTTGATTATTATTGTTACTCTATATTAACAAATAATAATCATAGTTATAATATGGTGATAGTTACATTATAGTTAATGGAAAAATAATTTAAATATGTCAAACTTTGTCAAGTAGTTAAATTCTAAACCTCCATTGTAAAATAAATAATATTACTCCAATTATATAACACATTCTATTTTGATTTTATTTTAACAAAATGTACATGAAACTTAAATTGTAAATGCATTCAAATAATGGGTTGTTTAGAAAAGTAATTTTCATTGAGGTACTTATTTTTATTTCACAAATAAAATAAAATACGTATTATTTAATTTATATTTTCATAAAAATATATGTAACCTTTGATAAATAATCGTTTTTGAAAGACCGATTGGATCGGATAGGGTTATTAACGACTTGTATAATCGAGTCAAATAGTGTGATTTTGTGTTTGTATTTGGTTAATTTTTTCGATTACGAATTCGAATTTGAAAATTAAACGAATAATATTTTTTTTATTTATATTCATATTTTGTTTAACAACACGAACAGTTAACGAATCATATATGAATAATGAACCGATTTGATCATAAGTTAAATATTAGTCAATATCCTTTACTTTTATTGTTCATAAAAAGGAGGGGTATAAATGATAACTTACTTTAATTTCCTTACAAAAAAGGAAATAAAAAATGATTTTTACCACAAATGATTTTTAAATATAATGATTTTTATAATGATTATCAATATAATGATTTTTATACATAAATATATCTCAAAGATTTTTAAATAAAAAATAACACTCATATTAGTAATTATACCTTGAAATAAGTCGATAACTGTATATATCAATGTCAAACCAACTCTAATTTTACAATAATTCATACTCCGTATTAGATTTTTAGCATTGTTTATAATATGAAAACACCATTACATATATACTCCCCCGTTGTATAATAACTGTCTCTTATTCCATTTTAATCTGTTTTTTTATTACTCATTTTTACTTTTACATACTATTTTCTCACTCCTACTTCATCATCACTTTAATCCTCTTAATATATTACGGTGTATCTTTCTCATTTTATCATCATTTTACTCTTCTTAATATACTCTCCTAAATGGACTCTTAATTAAGATTGGAGGGAGTAGTTTATACTGTACACCAGTGTTCTAAAAGGCGCTAGGCGCTAGTCAGGCGGTGACTGGCCGCCTAGCGCCTAGCCCGCCTAGGCGGGCGCCGACTAGGGCGCCTAGGTGTTTTCCTTGTATTTCTTTGTTTTACTGTTATTTTCATTGAATTTTAAATATATTACCAATAATTTTATAATATTTTGACAATAGGAATAGCTCATATAATCATTATATATTATGGCTTTTGTAGAAGAATTATAAATAATAAAATAATTAATAGATAAATGTAGATATTTATATTTTTAGTCTCTAAAAATGCACATATGTATTCTATTTTTTTTAAATGTTTCAAATTTTTGTTTTTTATTATCATAGTAATATGAAACTAAATCATATAGGAATAGAATACTTATTGATCAAACGTTGTTTTAAGTCAAAATGGGGTAAAAAAAAAGTTGGTTCGGGAAAAAAATTAATTCAGACCGCCTAGCCCGCCCAGGCACCCGCCTAGCCTGCCTAGGCGCCCGGCCGATTTTTCCGACCGATTACACCAAAGTCGGGGCGCCCGGCCACCGCCTAGCGACTAGGCGGCGCCTAGCCCTATTTTTAGATTCATATTGTACACACATAATGAGTAGTTTATGTGTTTATATTAATCTTTTACCTTTCTTATATTTTTATGTAATTGTTATCTTATATTTATTTATCTTTATTTTATTTGAATCTTGAATCGAGCATAAATTATTTATACTAGTATACAACCCTAGCTTCACCTGGTATAAATCCGACCTATTGCCGCCTCTAGTCACCTACCTTTTACATGTTTTCATACAAAAGGGATTCTAAAATTAAACAAATTAAAACACCATGTAAGAAACAATTATTTGATAAGAAATTTAAAAATAGTTTAATAAATTTGAAATAGTTTGAAAGAAAATGAATATTTTTATCTAATTTGGTACAACACACTCTCTTTTAGTTTACAAATTTGGTAAAGCATCTCTCTTTTTTCAATTTGGTTTTGGGCCTAATATCCCAACATATGTGTGTGTATTAGTCACGGTTAATGAATTTATACATATTCATCATAACAATATAAATATTGGAAAAAAATACTAGTATGTGATACACTTGTAATTTCCATTTGTATGTGTATGTTTTTAGTTAGTTTTTGTTGTTTGATACTTTGGAAATTATACACTTTTGGTGTAATAGTTATGTTTTTGTAATATTTGTAATTTGTTTCATATATTAATTATTACTAGAATCTATCGACGAATACGCTTGTTAATCGTTCGGTCGTTTCACGGTAGTAAACTTGGGTTACTAATGCATGCGTCTCATGGTTAATAACGTAAGGGGAATTAATTATGTTGATCAAACCAATAAACCGCTTGTGTTGAGCCGTTGAGGTTATCAATCTCAATCGTTTTCATCTTGATTTTATTGCTACTATCGGGTTAATATACGGCGCGTGTTCGATATGAACTCGGTAGTAAATTGTATTAATGAACGCGTTTCAATTCGTTATTAATAACTACCCTCGATGATTTGGATATACTCATCGATTGAGTATTCGAGAGGAAGATAGTTAAAGATATAACCGGGATCGACAAACATTTCATTAAGTGGATAAAAGCAAAACCAAGTTTTCATCTCTATTAAGTAAACCACATAAGTCGTTCATATTCGTGTTTAAATATAATTTAAGTTCATCAATCAATCTAAAAAACCTCCTTGTTACTTATTTCCAGTTTTATAAAAAGAGAAGTATTCCTTTCCCTGTGGATACAAACCTTACTTCATTATTCTACGTATAATTGTTGTATTGAATATTTATTTTGAGTACACACCACGACAAAGTGCACGTGAGTATGCATCATAAACGTAGTATGAGTTTTAAAAGTAAAGTATTGAGTAAAAAGAACATACACATATATGTATAATATACAATTTGGAATGACATACATGATGCGAATATGTTTACTTATGTTTTTACTTTTATATTTTCACATAGCTTATTCAATTAAAAAAATCATATAAAACGTGGTGAGGAGGAAATGGGGCGGCTATGTCATCATCTTTCACACATTTCCAAAGTATATTGTTGAATAACTTCTTTTTAAATTGTTTTGCGGTTATAATATGAAATTATAGATTCAAAGAACCTTGAGCATAACCACATAATGAGACTTTCAAACAAATACAACAATGTGGTGCAAAGCATAACGTACTCATACAACAAATAAAATATGGTGTCAACTCATTTACTTGTGATATATCTCATATAGTGAGAGCACATTACATAAATAGATATAAATAGATGCAAGAAGCAATGACAAACTTATTGAAAAAAAACGGAAAATGTATACAACTCTCTTTTATTGATTGGTCTGTTAAATTACAAATCCACCAATTGTAAAAAAACGAATCCATCTAATCAAACTCCAATTCCACTTGTTCAAAATCTTATACAACTTTTGTTGTATATGCATCAAAATAATGGAAAATCTTGTACATCTTTGACAATCTAAATTCAAAGGAAAATAAACTCCAGGAACTATTTTTGTAATGTCTTCCAACAGTTCCACCTTCTGCTCACTATCAACTTCCGCTCACTATCACCTGAAACATTATATACAAATAACAACATTAACTAACATTGGCAATACATGTATAACTTTTTATTGGAAGAAATAGACATACTATTCTTTAACAATAGATTGCCATAGAACCCCCCTTTTTGACTGAATCTCATATAAAGTAACTGAAAATAAGCTACATAAAAGCGCCCTATTGTTCGCCACACATAGATACTAAAATCACTCCACATATATTGCAACATATTCTGCCATCACAACCTGTTTTCGACATAGTTATAATGGAAATGTGCAATATAGATAAATTTAGAAAAAACGTAGGATTCGAAAGCTGTTTTCAGCTTTACACAATGCGGTAATGTAGGAGGACTCTCTCCTGTCCAGAACCATAAATGGTGTTTAACACAATGCTCTAATTTTTCCCTCATTCTGATGAAAATTTTATGAGGAGTAACAAATACTAAGTAACTAAAATCTCATTGAATCGTTTGTTTCCCTTTATGGACTACACTAATATAACTAACTGTTACAAACATAACTACTAACAAACTTGTTCAATCCCAGTTGATTATAATTAAAAGCAAGTTAGCCATAAACATAGTTAGAATGGGATAATAAAATGCTAAACTCTTCTTGGACTCCTACTTGTGTTCAAAATCTACAAATAAACGCCAACTCACTGAATGCACACTGTTTGCAGCCAAACTTACCATTTTAACTCCGATAATCAGTTGGATGAACCAAATTATTCCAAAGCACACCATATAAACTCTGCATGACAAAAGTATACATTTTAAAAAATAAATGTTGAAGGTTAAAATTTTGTATTAAAATTTATAACGATTAGTTAAAACAACGTTGAAATAAACCTGAGTAGGTTGGGGTGCAGCTACTGAATGTGGCAGTTGAGCATAAGAAGAGGATTGGCCATATCCAGGAGGAAGTTGAGCATATGAAGGGAACTGAACATATCCAGGTACAATTGGCACCTCTTGGTTGTGTGTCATAAAATTCATTGAAAATTCAGGTACCGGGGGAAACACAAGTTGCCGAGGAGTCATTGGAACCGCGCCATTAAGAGTCTTATTCTCAGCCTTGGTAGAAAACAAAACCAAATCAAAGTTAGAGAATTTAGAATATAATAAGGAGGCTCCTGAAGGAGATAAATAGAGACAGATGCTTCTAAAAATGAATGATGAAGATTTAAAGTTCTCATTTTAAAAAAGGTTCTCATTTTAGGAGGGATTCTCCCTAGAACCCTCCCATGTATATGTATATGTATATGTATATGTATATGTATATGTATATGTATATGTATATGTATATGTATATGTATATGTATATGTATATGTATATGTATATGTATATGTATATGTATATGTATATGTATATGTATATGTATATGTATATGTATATGTATATGTATATGTATATGTATGATAATTGCAAGAACAAAAGATGGTTCTGATACTCAATTAAGAGGTTCTTTAACTTCATATTTTATTGATCTGGGATAGCTCCAACTCCTTCAGTCGAGGGCCAAAATCCTAAACATGCTTTTTGCATGACTTCTGTAGTGTGTCATTATCATGTCTACAAGAGTACTCATTCAGAGACCATATTAGCAGTAAGTAAATGGCATTATGACTTGATTCACTAGAAAACATTCTCACCAAATTAAAGATCTTCATATTTTTATATTAAACACAAATCCAAAACATTTAAAAAGACTTGTAGACACAATGGCAGTTAGTCTCCACAGGAATGAGATTTAGAATATAACCCTGGCACTGGTTTTTTACTGTGTAAATTTATATGGTTTACTACCTTTTTTACTGTACTAAGAGTCTGTTTGGTAAAGCATTTAGTAACATCCTTGTTTAATCATTTAAGCACTAGACTGCTTTTTAATAAGCTCCATTTCAGTGCTGTTTAAAAATTTAGAATTACTTAAAAGCACTTTTCCCATAAAATATATTCCTGCTTCAAATACAGGCCCGATAGAAGGTTGAAGATCACAAGTTTAACTTTACATATCTATTGTTAAGGCAAAGGTAGTAAATACCTGCACCGAAGTTGAGGTGGAGTACTTCATTTGTTTATCAATCATCTTTGAACCACCCTCTTTCTCATTCAACTTCATTTTCTATTGTGTGAAGAAAAAAGTCAGAACAGAAATTAGTAATTAAAGCTTGTGTATGTCCTAGTAGTTACACTTCTTGTATAGCTCATAACCTATACTGCACGTCTAAAGAAAAATTACAAACAGAACACAAAATTGTAGACATACATCATCCTTCTCATATATTGGAGCGGGGCATTTAGCTTTCTTACTCAACTTGTTTTTAACAAGCTGTTTCTCCTTTTGCTTTCGCTTCTGCAAGTAAAAGAAATACTTTTTAAGTACAAAAACTAAAAAATTATATTTGAAATCAGTTTGCACGTACACTTGCAGTCGGAACAACAATGGAGTTGCTAATTTCATGACGCGCTTCCTCATAGATTCCTTCAGGGGTCCCTTCATCTTTTTCCTGTAGAATATTATCAAATTGCATTACTATTTTCTATAATTATAATAATATATATGTGTGTGTGTATATATACATATTGCTAAATTTATAATACATAAAACTGAAAAATTAAAAATGTTATTATGACTAACCTCTGAAGATGATAACTCGTTATGATCACCACCTTTTTTGTCATATGTAGCAAGAAGCTTTGCACAATTTTTCGCTGTGTGGCCAAAACTATTACAGCTTCTACAACGTCTATTTTTTCGACCAAACCCTATCTTTTTTGGTGCTCCTTTGGTCTTGACTATAGTCGGATCTCCAATGTGATTAAGGCATGACTTATCTTTGCTACAATTATCCGGCACTGTCTCATACTTATGAATAAGACTTAAAAGATCGTTCGTTATGTTAAGAAACAGACCCCTCTTATTTGAAGCAATATCACAAAGCTTGTGCGCCAGAGCAGCTACCGAACCAAACCGGGCACTTTTCATGACATCTGAATCAATTTCATCCAAATTATCCGAGCAAACTAACTCGCTCTTAGCTGTCTTTGTCCACCTTTTACAAACTAAACTAATAGGAATTGAATCCATGAACTCGTATTTCATGACCGCAAATATGTGAGCACATGGTATTCCCCGAGATTCATAGAGATGAAACTCACAAGATAGATTGGTCTTCAATGCATCAGAGACAACATTGTGTTCTTTTCCTGGATTGGAATACTTTTTCATCTTGAACAACAATTTGTCTCCAACTTCAACTCGCTCAATAACATTAAGTGAACCGGCAATCAATAGCTCCTCCCTAACTTCTTTAAAAATATGCAGTGTGTATAATTTTGAGGCTTCATGCTCAAACTTATGAAGAGAGGTAGTCAACACAGGCTCTGCAAATGAATCATTAAAATCAGCCTCCCGCTCATTGTTTCTATATTCTCGTACAGCTCGCTCAAAAGAATGGGTGAACTCAAAAATGCTACTTTTTCTCCTGACATAACGCTTGATTAAGGCATTAATCGCTTCACATTGAGACGTCGTTCTTATACGGCCAAAAAACTTATCACGAAAATATGCTGTGGCCCACATATGTTTAATCTCATATGTTTTCGTCACCCACTTATTTCCTACAAGGTTATGCTTTGAAACGATCTGCTTCCAGTATTCCTCAAATTCATCGGGGGAAAAGTTATAATACATGGCTTTCATGAAGTCTGTTAAAAAATCGGATTTCTTAACATTTTCGCATGCATTTTTGTGCAAGTGCCACGCACAAAGACGATGTGACGCATTCGGGAAAACCTGTTTTATGGCGTCTCTCATAGCGCCATCACCGTCAGTGACAACTGATATGGGATGTTTGTTGTGCATCGCGTCCAAGAAAGCCTCTAACACCCATTTGTACGTCTCAATGGTCTCATCACCCAACAGAGCACAACCGAAAATAGTTGTTTGCGAATGATGATTACAACCAGAAAAAATAACCAACGGCTTGTTGTATTTATTCTTCTTGTAAGTGGTGTCAAAAGCAAGTACATCGCCAAAACATTGAAAGTCTGACCTACTGCGCCCATCTGCCCAAAATAAATGCTTCAGCTTACCATCCTCTGTGGTTTGGAACTTTGAATAAAACATAGGATCATTATCTGCCTTCCCTTCAAAATAACTCAACGTAACACGCGCATCCCCATCTTTAATTATGTCACGTTGTTTTAATTATGAAAGTGATTGTATAGATCCCTGAAAGCTAAACTGATTTAGGCGGAATTAATCTTTCATTCAGAGACTGTCAATTTAAATAGAATACATCACAACAACCAACTCCTAAAAAATAGGATCTAAGCTAAAACTATGCTAACAACCCTGACCAAGTACAATAGTTATCTAATTACAGTTAAATAGATATGTACGAGTAAATTTAAAATAGCTAACACTCCCCCTCAAGCTGGAGCAAAGATATCAATCATGCCCAGCTTGACTAAAATTTCTTCAAACATTTGCTTGAAGAGCCCTTTAGTTAGTACATCTGCTAGTTGCTCAGTTGTTGGCACATAAGGTATGCATATTTCTCCACCCTCAAGTTTTTCTTTGATAAAATTCCGATCAACTTCCACATGTTTAGTTCTGTCATGTTGCACTGGATTATGTGCTATGCTAATGGCAGACTTGTTATCACAATATAGTCTCATGGGCTTCTCTAATGGCATCTTCAACTCGGTCAGCACACGTCTTACCCATATTACTTCACAGATCCCTTGTGCCATTGCTCTAAATTCAGCTTCTGCACTACTTCTTGATACAACATGCTGTTTCTTGCTTCTCCAAGTGACCAGGTTCCCCCATACAAAGGTACAATAAGCCGATGTAGATCGTCTATCAATACTATTCCCAGCATAGTCAGCATCTGTGTACACCTCAACTTGTCTGTTTTGGGTTTTCCTGAACAAAATTCCTTTTCCAGGGCTACCTTTAAGATAGTGAATAATTCTGTAGACAGCTCGGAGATGTTCTTCAGTTGGGTTATGCATGAACTGGCTGACTAAGCTTACTGCAAATGCTATGTCAGGTCTTGTGTGAGCTAAGTAGATAAGCTTCCCCACAAGTTGTTGATACTTGGTTCTGTCCACAGCTTCCTCATTTTCACTTCTTCCAAATTTTTGATTTGGGTCAATTGGAGTTGAAACAGGTTTACATCCAAGGAGACCTGTTTCTTTCAGCAAATCAAGTACATATTTCCTCTGACAGATCACAATTCCTTTCTGGGATCTAGCAACTTCCATACCAAGAAAGTACTTGAGATTTCCTAAATCTTTTATCTAATGAATTGTTGAGCTAGGAAATTCTTTAATGCTGCCAATTCTCCCTGATCATCTCCTGTCAATACTATGTCATCCACATATACAATTAGTACTGCAACTTTACCTTCTACACTATGTTTGTAGAACAAAGTGTGATCTGATTGTGCTTGAGTGTACCCTCGTTTCTTTACAGTTTTTTCAAATCTTCCAAACCAGGCCCTAGGAGATTGTTTGAGTCCATATAAGGCCTTCTTCAGTTTGCACACCTTTCCTGCAGTAGTATCATTGTCAAATCCAGGTGGAACTTGCATAAATACTTCTTCTTCCAAGTCTCCGTTAAGAAATGCATTCTTAACATCTAGTTGTAGTAGTGGCCAATCCAAGTTTGCAGCTAAAGAAAGAAGTATTCTGACAGTGTTAAGCTTTGCAACTGGAGCAAATGTTTCTTCATAATCTAGCCCATATGTCTGAGTGAACCCTCGAGCTACAAGTCTAGCTTTGTGTCTTTCTATCGTACCATCAGAATTGTACTTGATGGTAAAAATCCATTTGCTATCAACCAGTTGTTTGTTGGGTGGCAATTTTGTCAATTCCCAAGTTTGGTTCTTTTCTAATGCCCTCATTTCCTCTAGAACAGCCTCTCTCCACTTTGGAATACTTAGAGCTTCATGTATCGTTTTAGGAGTTTCATCATCAGTAATGCTAGTGGTGAAGGCTCTAAACTTTGGTGATAGGTTATGATATGACACATAGTTACTAATTGGGTGTTTGGTACATTCTCTAACTCCTTTTCTAGTGGCTATTGGTTCATTGAGATCACTTTGGTTAGGCACAGAGACTGACTCAGAAGTAGGATTTAAATTACTGTGCTCAGACACAAGAGATTTTTCAAGAGTTGGATGGAGAATAAGTGTATTACCTGGAGCATGACTTGGGGTAGGGATTGGTTGTGCATCATTGGGTTGTGGAATAACCCTTTGCCTCTCTTTCCTTCTTGAGTAAACACGAAGTTCAGTAGTTGGTGCCATGTTTCTCATAGTTGCAGAATCTTTATGAGGGGTAGAATTATTTGTTATGGTATGTTTGTCATTGGCTAACTCAGTTTGGTCATTAAAAACAGGAATAGGAAGCACATTGCATTTCCAAAACTTATCTTCATCATTCACTAAATGCTCCCCCTGAAGAGAAGTTTGATTAAAAAAAGGTTGATTTTCAAAAAATGTGACATCCATACTGACAAACATTTTACCCGAGCTCACATCAAAACACTTATAACCTTTTTGAGTGTTTGAAACACCTAAATATATGCATTTGATAGCTCTAGGATCCAATTTGCTGCGATTTATAGCATGATTATGAACAAAACTAGTGCAGCCGAAAACTTTGTGGGGTAATTCAGTAAAAATTTTATTATGAGGGAAGAATGTTAGTAGAGTTTGTAAAGGGGTTTGATAGCTTAGAATTTTGCTTGGCATCCTATTTATTAGATAAGCAGCATGAAGTAAGGCCTCTCCCCAAAAACGTTTTTGAACATTCATTGAAAACATAAGAGCTCGAGTAACTTCTAAAAGATGTCTATTTTTTCTTTCGGCAATTCCATTTTGTTGAGGTGTAACTACACAAGAACTATGATGGATTATGCCTTGTTTGATCAGAAAATTTCCAAGAATTTTATTGAAATACTCTGTTCCATTATCAGTTCGAAGAACTTGGATTTGGGACTGAAACTGAGTTTGAATCATAGAATAAAATTTTTTAAATGTTTCAGCAGCTTCAGATTTTTCTTTAAGAAGATAAATCCAAGTTTTTCGTGTGTGATCATCTATAAATGTAATGAACCATCTTGCCCCAGAATAACTTTTGACACGAGATGGTCCCCAAATGTCACTGTGAATTAAGGAGAATGGTTTGGATGGTATATAGTTCACAGTGGGATAAACAGATCTCTTATGTTTAGCCAATTGGCAAATTTCACACTGGAAAACTTCAACATCTTTATTTTTGAATAATATAGGAAATAAATGTTTCAAATAACCAAAACTAGGATGGCCTAATCTATAATGCCATAACATTATTTCATTCTCTAAAGATAAGTAACTAGAGAAACATGGATTATGAACTTGTTTACGTTGAAGATTTTCTGAGGTAAAGTAGTAGAGTCCACCACTTTCATGTGCACTACCAATCACCTTCCCCGAGCTGTGCTCCTGAAAAACACACCCAGAAGAAACAAATTTGACAAGGCAATTAGAATCACTGGTTATTTTGCTGACTGATAACAAATTACATGATAGATTAGGCACATGTAGGACATTGGTTAAAGTGAGTAAAGGTGAGACAACAATAGAACCTTTTCCAGCTATTGCAGACAAGGAACCATCTGCAATTTTAACCTTTTGATGACCAGAACAAGGAAAATATGTGGAAAACATGTATGAAGATCCAGTCATATGATCGGTGGCCCCTGAATCAATGATCCAAGGGTCGGATTTATCTAATTTAAGGTTAAACGCTGCTGCATAGGTACCTTTTTGAGCTAATGAAGATGAAGGATCAGATGGGCTTTGGTTCAGGTTATTAGCAAACTGATGTGTACTCAGGATACGACGCAATTGCTCTAAATTTTCCTTGATGAATGAGTTGTCACTGGAGGATAGATAAGCATTAGATTCTTCTGAAGAGACCTGGAAACCACCTCTGGAATTGCGCTGTGACCTATTTGTTGGTGTAAAGTTAGCTGGTTTGCCATGTAACTTCCAACATTTAGCTTTGACATGCCCAATCTTGTGACAGTAGTCACAAACAGGTCTGTTCTCTTTCTTTTGAAATAGTTGGGGTGACAATTCTGGCTTCTCATCAGCTTTTGAAGTGGCTAGCGCTACAGTTTCAGCATTTGATGAAATTTCAGCATCAAGCATCACATGCCTACGGCTTTCTTCTCTCCTAACTTCTGCAAATGCTTCCCGTGTGCTGGGCAGTGGGTCTTTTCCAAGTACTCGACCTCGAACTTCATCAAGTTCCTTGTTTAGTCCAGCCAGAAAGTCAAAGACCCTCTCCTTCTCGATGGTCTTTTTATATAAAGCACTATCTGCTGCGCATTTCCAGGTGTAGTTGCAAAACAAATCGTACTCTTGCCACAGAGTGCTCAGTTCAGTGTAGTACTGTGTGACACTCTTGTCTCCTTGTCGTGTTTTATTTAATTGATTCTTAATCTCAAATTGTTGGCTGACATTTCCCAAGTCTGAGTATGTTTCCTTGACGGCGGTCCAGATTTCATGTGCACTTGGTAGAAACAAGTAAGCACGACCAACATCTGAATCCATCGAATTCACAAGCCATGACATGATCATGGAGTTCTCAGCTTCCCATCGATCAAGTCCTTCCTCTCCTTCCTCCGGCTTGGCTGTGGATCCAGTGAGATATCCAAATTTTCCCCGTCCTTGAACGAACAATTTGACAGACTGAGACCATTGGAGGTAATTACTCCCATTTAATTTATGGGAAGTAATAGAAATATTCTGAAAAGAATCAGATTGAGATGTGGGATTTGCACCGCCAGTGTGACTGGATTCACTGGTTGAATCGGCGCTACCTGAAGGAGATTTCATGATTGATCAGCGGCTGAAAGAATAGCGGCTGAGACAGATTAGCGGCTGAATGATCAGCGGCTCTGATACCATGAAAGCTAAACTGATTTAGGCGGAATTAATCTTTCATTCAGAGACTGTCAATTTAAATAGAATACATCACAACAACCAACTCCTAAAAAATAGGATCTAAGCTAAAACTATGCTAACAACCCTGACCAAGTACAATAGTTATCTAATTACAGTTAAATAGATATGTACGAGTAAATTTAAAATAGCTAACAATCCCTCTTTGAAAAACCAATACCAGCATGCCCACCCTTTTGATCTAACAAGTATCCCATTATGTGACAAGTCCTAACTCCAAATGAA